TTTTTTCAAGTTTATACAAATGGTGTTCATGCTGACAGTTTATTTATTGTTTTAATAAAAGCCATTTCTGATTTTCTCAGGTTATTATGAATTGTGAAACCATTACATAGATTTTTTTCAAAAGTTCTTTATTCCAGCAGTTTTTTGTCTCATAGAAATGTCTTTAAATATCAATATAATATTTAATCAAGCAACCTCTACTGGGCGATCCTCGCGTTACGTGTGTGATTCTGGTACAGATATGCAAGATACATATTGCAAATATTATAGTAGAAGATGTGTCTGATATAAAATAATATTTCTCTTAATAACATGTTTATTGCACATACTAGTAAAAGAAATGATTAGTTGCGTTACGTCTGTGACGTACTAAACTATAAATTTGAATTTTAAACATTGATTAAATATTTCTGCTATTTGGCTGTGTTTAGTTTAATAATTTTTTTTTTAATGTTACAGACAATATGTTGATGTTTATAAAAAATACTTTTATTTTTCAAAATTTCAATAACTTCATAAAAATAAATGATAATCTTAAGTGTTATGTGACAAATTTTGTTACGTGTGTGTGACACTGTATGAACTTTTAATAATTTAATAATTTTTTTTTTCTTAACATAACTGAAATTAAGGTTAAACTGAGTAGCACTTTTGTTTTATAGTTTTTTTAAAGTTTTTTAAACTTTTTAAGCTTTATTTTATCAGGGTACATAGTTTCATTGCTCTTCACAAGGCACCAATCATTAAAAGCCATTTCTGGAGATTGGGAAAATCTTTCGGGAGCTTGCATGTCATTAATATAGTTTATTTGAAAATCAGATTACTTTGAGTCACTTGTTTCGAAAAATGACTTGCATTCATTGAATTTTTTAGTATTCCCTGTATTTTTTTGACTTCTAATCAAGGTTTTTTGTTGTCTATTTTACAAATAATTTCATCATTGCTAATATAGAGAATATTAGTAGCTGTCATTGATGGTTTGAAAACATTGAAAAAATCCATAGGCATTTATTAACACAGTTTCTCATTCTTGCTAATACATTTTATTTGAACAAGAGACTTAAATCTTCCTCCAACACCATCTACAGCCCCTTTTCTATATGAAGTTGCAAAAATTTTCCACTCAAATGTTTTATTTTATTGCAAATATAATTGGTTGAGTGATTTCATCATAAACTTATTTTTTAAATTCTGATGATGGGCTGTCAATAAAAAGAGTTTCAGTGTTTACAGTTTTCAGGCATGATAATATGTTTTGCAACTTGTTGTTGAAAACAGCAGCAGTAAACAATTAAATAGTGCTCCGACTCTACAGTGCACTTTTGGATATTCGCAAATATATGCTACTGCAAAATCCACCTGAAGAACTATTTCTCTTGCATTCCTCTTGTCTTTTTTAAATATTGTTATAAAGAAAAGCCTAAAATTTCATTTATTGCAAAAAAACAGAGCTAATACTCCTACTGAATCCATTTTAAGTTGTTTTAAATTGGCATCAATGTTCCTTTGCAAGACCATTTGATTGCTAGTATATATATATATATATATATATATATATATATATATATATATATATACACACAGAGTAGGCAAAAAAATAAATGGCACAAATTTTTTTTTTTTTTTTTTTGTTTGTTGAGAATTCGTATAAAATGATTAAAAAATATTTGTTTTTAAGGGAAAAAACTATCAATTATTTAAAAATAACAATATATCAATGTTCATATGACATATAAAAATCAACTGTACTTATAATCATCAAATATTTTCTTGCAAAAAAAATAATGGCACAAACAAGAAAAATTTCTATAATTAGACAAAAAATTATTTTTCAATATTTAGTAGGGCTACCCTTTGTAACTGCTTGCAGACATTAAAGCATTGATTCCAATAAAGATTTGGTTTCTCTTGGAGTTATTTTCTCCCATGCTTCAACTATGGCTGCTTTTAGATCATTTTGCCTTCTGAAAGCTTGATCTCCAATTTTGCCATCACATTAATATCATTCTTTTGGAAATATTCCTTCCTTGCCATGGCAGAATGTTTTAGATCATTGTCTTGTTGAAAGACAAAGTTATTTTCGAACCTAAATTTACAAGCAGAGGACTTCTAGTTTTGCTTTAAAAATGTCTATATGCAAATTAAAATTCATTGTTGATTCAATGAAAGTCAATTTGTCAGCTTCTTACCATGCTTCTTACCATTGACCCCCACACCATGATATTTCCACCACCGTGTTTTACTGTCCCTCTCATGCAACTCAATTTGTATGCCTCGTTTTGTTTTTGCCAAACTTTTTATTATCCATCCAATGAGATCAGGTTAAATTTGGATTACTTTCTTCCAGAACTCAACAGTCTTTTTTGCAACATATTCTACCATGAAATCCTTGCTCTCGGATTCTATTTTAGATAGCTTGATCTGAAATCAGGATTTTGTGGTCGTTTTTAACATTGTCAGCAATCTTTTAAGCAGCATCAAATCTGTTTTGCTTGACTTG